ACAAGTATATCTCAAGCTAGGAGAAGAATCTAAAACTGATATTTATAGCATTGGAAATTTTACCTCGATGCAGTCCATTTAGACTCAAGAACGGGCTAATTCGGAGTTGAAACGAAAAAGTTATGACATTTCGAAGTTAGAAGACCAAAGCTGAACCTACAAAAATGTTCTGGAAGACTTGAACCGGTTTAGCATTTCCTGAACTAGTTCAACATGGATAGAACATCCTTATTGGACCCAAAACACACCTTGAACCGGTTCAGAGATGCTGAACCGGTTCAACCCGACCAGAATTGAACCAAACAGTAGAAAAACCAGAAAAATGGGTTCGATACGGGGTTTTCGAGACCAAGATGACATTTTCTGGAAAAATGTCATGAAGAAACTCCCCCTAAAATTACATTTTCTATGTGACGAAATCAAGACAGGAATTTATTTCCCAAAGGAAAACGCCAAAATGCCCCTAAACTAGGTTTTGCAAGAAAAATGTGAAATGAGTCCATAGGAGTCTCATTTCACCAACGAAAGAGTTTTTCCCGGAAAAGATCATGCACGCAGACGTAACTTACCTATTGGGACATGCTACAATGATCCACGGCTTAAAAATACCGCCAATGCAAAATTTGACCTATCCAAACCCCAATGCATGAAAATACCCTTCAAAGGCAAAAAATGCATGAACCGGACTTAAATGCAATCAAATGACCATTTGGCCCTTGGCTACACTTCGTGCATATAAACTAAGTACCAATGGACATGCTTGTGCACGCTATACGTCACCCGATTTGAAAATGAACCTTTAAAGGCTAAGATTTTCCTATTTTTGCCCAAAAATGCAATATGTGAAATTAAAATGCAAAAGTGAAAACGAAATGGTGTTTGGCCCTTGGCCACACCTCATATATGGTAAATAAATGCTAAAGGATGAATTTAATACATAATGCACACACCGGTGCAAAAATGACATATTAAACCTTAATTTTTCATACTTTTCTCATTAAAGGAAAAATTCAGCATTTTTGGATATACAAGAATTTCAAATGAAGTTTAGCCCTTGGCCACATATCATATACATATAATGAGTGTCAAAAAGTGTGCTTAGGCACAAATTACAAGTTTCAATACAAAAATGACACTCTTGTCATAACTATACATTACAACCTTAAAAGTAAAACTCAAACATGCTAACACTTGCATGTGAACAAGAATGTATTTAAATGAACTTAATACATCGATTAACATACCCTCTCACATATGGGTATACTTTTCGACATAAGTGGGCCAAAAGGTGTATGAATTATATATAATTATCAATGTAACAATGAAATATCTTGAAATAGCAAATATAATATAACTATTCAAATTTTCAATGACATAAGTGAAATATAAAAAAGTTACTCTAATTTTGTTTGTACCTCATACTTATTTTATTCCATATGATCTTATACATGTAATTTTATTCCAAGTGTTAATGGAAAATTTTTGTCATAATTTTTTTTCCAAGTGTTAATGGAAATTTTTTTTTTTCCAAGTCTTAATGGAGATTTTTTTTTTTTAACAAATTATCTCAAATCATATAAAAGTGGACTATTAGATATAAACTTATAATTGTATTAATATATATTTAATTATTAGAAAAAAAAAAAAAAAAAAAAAAACATCTTTACCAAACTAGTGTTATGTTATTGATTCAGAATTTGACAACAAAAGGATTTCCCATTTCGGATTTCTTGAAATGCATGACCTTACCAAATGCATTTTTATGTTTCTAATTCCAAATTTTTCAAAACAAATTTTCGTTACAAAACATGGTTCTGATTTCTACTCAAAAGGCTCCTATACCAAAACGGTTGTTTTCGTATTGACTAAAACCATAACGCCTAAAACATATCGCATACCAAACGAGCCCTTATGATTTATGTTTGTTCAAATTTTTAGGGTTTCCGAAAGCCCTTTCTGTTTTCGAGTGCAATACAGAAATGTTTGGGCCAGGAAAGGGTTATGGTGGTGTTACCATGTCCTAGCTTTCCCCTTATCTCTCTCTATAATAGAGAAACTCATATCCTTCTTCCCATCACACTTTCTCTCTCTAGACTTACTGTTCCCTTTTTACAGAATTAAAAAATATATATATATATACACCTGCACATAGTTCCACTGGAGCTTGGTCCAGGGTAAATGACTATACCCTCTGAATGTGACTAGAACACACATACTACACTTGCCACTATGTGAATAGAACACACATGATACGACTATATGGGAAGTGAAAGAGATAGTAGAAACAAAGGACAAATTCTATTAGTACCTTTTAATAATTAATTGTTTTCAGGGTGCCAGATGTTGCAATCCTCTTCTTTTGAAACAGATTTTTTTTTTTTTTTTTTTTTTTTTTTTCTGAATGGTTATATATATATATATATAGATAAGCTTCAAAAATACAATTACAAGGGAGTCATATCTCCATTACAAATCAACGAAGTGGAATAAAATCCACAAAATACTTCCAATTAAAATTGGAATAAACAAAATACCAAAAATAAAAGCAGAACCTTCTATAAAATTCTTCAGAAATAACACATTCATGCTCTTTAAGAAGACCACTCTTCTGTCAGAAACTCACAACTTGACTCCAAGGACTACCTCTGAAGCTCAGCCCCATTATCAGCCCAAAAACAGAACCAACTATACCACATCAAAAAGCACAAATAAGTCAGCAATTCCCACTGAATGAAAAGAATTGCAAAACTTCCCAAATAACATTATTTGCAGCAACTGAAGCTTGTTCCTTTGTTCCACCATGCAATGATGTGTTTCTCTCCATCCAAATCTTCCAAATGAAAACACAAAATATGCCTTTAAGTATTTTGGACTTAAGAGACAAGCTGTCTGAACCTGTAATAACAGCCACTCCACGAACTGATTAAACCCTTGAAACCTCACAACTGGAATATGTAACCTATCTGAAACATGCTGCCATACTTCCATAGCACAAGAACACTGACAAAACAAATGATCATTGGAATCTTCCTCCTTAAAACAGTTTTGACAGATAGCCGGACCAGAGAAACATCTTTTTTCCAAATTGAACCAGGTCAAATTCTTATTATGCAGTATAATGACAGCCAAGACAGCAACCCTGGACCTGCAGAATTTCCAACACAAATCCTTCCAGGAAACAATCTGCCCTCTAGCTCGATAAATTCTCCACACATTTTTCAAACTAAAGCTGCCATGTTTTGAAACAGTTGGATTTGTCATGGCAATCAGAGAAACTGTTTTAACATAATGGTAAAATTGTGAGACAGTAATGTTGTGTATTCAAGTTACTTTTTCGAGTTGTATGATTTAATTATCTAGAAAAAGAATTCATTTTTAATCCAAACGTGTCAATTTAAGTGCTCCTAAACATAACATTAGAAAAGAAAGAAAAAAAAAAAGGGGGGGGGGGGGGGGGGGGGGGGGGGGAGAAGAAAAGGTAATTATTCATTGTGTATAAAAGATCTAGGTATCAAAAACATTTTGATGCTTTTGCCCTAATGTGGAGAGAATGAGATTATGAATCAAAAAAATTTCATGATAATTCAACAAATCATTAGAGATGGTAGATAAAAAGACATAAACCAAGTTAAGAGAATAAATCTACGTCAAGTGTTGGATGTTATTCATTTATAAATTTAAATTGGTAAGAGATGGAATCTAGTAAATTCAAATATATACCATACAATTGAATTAATATTGTAAATATAACCCATTTCAAGTGTTTTAAGTAAATGGCTTTCCAATTATAGCATGCTAATGCCTTTAAGAAGAGTGTATTACAGAAAGTGCTGACTATTTATTCCTAGAAACTTATTTTGAAATTTGGAACTCTAATGTTGAAGTGCACAAGTTGCTTGGGCTCTATCCCATTAGGGTTTTGGCTCTTTTGTAGGGGTTTTGGCGTGAACAACAATGACAAAACCAGGCAGGAAGTTCTGTTTCTCTGATTCTTGTCCTCAGTTCTTCAAAGTCCATCTCCCAGAGCGAAGCTCTCAGCAACTGGTTATCTTTCTTTCTTTTCACTATAACTAACAATTGTTTATGCTTCATTACAACTTTCAGGGTCCAACAACCAATTTAATTGTTGTAGTAAATGCAAATCCAACCAGCATTTACTGAGGAATTACATGGAGTTATACCTTCCAAGTCTACAATTAGGAATCATGGAAGGAGACGATGGCGAGTGGAAGTGAACAAGATTGATGAGCATCTGTATTTTCGGCATGAATTTGTGCAAGACAATTCAATAGAAAGAATTAGGAGATTTTCTGGTATTCAGCTACGGTGGTAGGTAGTTCAATGTTTTACGTCAAAATATTTGGGAAAAGCTGCTGTGTAGAGGAGGTTCCAATCTCTACAAGGAAGAATACTCAAACGCCAAGAAGCAGTTCTCCAAGAAAATCAGACATTTGAACCCTAGTGGAGCTAGCATTCAAGTTTCAAACTTGCCTCAAAAGATAAGGGTACTATCATATATATAGCTGACATATACATATAATGCACGAAAGTATGAACGTTTGTACTCTGAGTCCTAGGCCTAAGCTCTCTGGTTTGATGGTTCTTGCTTCGGGGAGGCTGATGCACCCTTGAATAACATGAAAGGGGAGGTCAGTGGAGGGAAAGTGTTGAAAGTCGACAACGAGTGTGCTCTTAAGGTTTGCTCCAAAACACCTTCATAGCAGAAGAAGTTGCTAATGGGGCTATGATAACTCCTGATGATGAGCTTGCTGCTGTTATTATCACTCTTCGTTGGATTCCTAGAGAGGGGAACTCAGTTGTGCATCTAAAAAAAGTTGTAATTCCCTATAATTCAAATTCAAATCAATGTTTATTCAGTGCAACAAGAAACCGCCCATACTAGAATGCATCTCACGCCCTTACTCTATATTGGATTCCTAACTCACTTGAAAAGATTTAGAGATATACCAAAACTAACTCAATTTCTCAACCACCAAATCTTAAATAGGAACCTGTGTTTTCATTCAAAGCATGTTATCTTTAGCGTGTGTTGTTTCTTTACAAGATTTAAGAAATAGGAAGGTATACAATTACTTCCATATTCTTTTTGTTAATAAATCAATAGAAAGGTCCGCTGTACATGTGCTGATTTGGAGGCAGATACTATATTACAATTCTCCTCAGTTAAATAAATTGAAGAATTATGTATTTGATCGATTGCTGCAATACTAACTAATGAATGGCAACATCGGATTCATGCCAAGGCCAGATTCACCAAAAGTACCAGGCTCAGCATGCTTCACCCTACCAAAATGTCTGATATGACGCAACAGCCTGGCCAGGAATGTGTTGTGGCATATTGTTGAGCTATCACACACCACCGCTACATGTTTGCGCGCTCTTGTTATGGCAACATTCATTCTCCGACTGTCACCCAAGAATCCAACAGCACCCATAGTATTTGATCGGACCTTTACAAAATAGTACAAAACAAACATTCATCAATTATCCTTATTTTAAAATAACACAGGAGTTTATGGAATGAATTTTCTCAGGTATGATTATGTACTTCCAAGTCTGAATATGTACTGGAACTCATTCAATTCTGTTATACTTCCAGACCTAACACTGCCAAAGAATCAGATATTTAGTTCTGTGTCTTAATTTGAAAAAGGATATACATCCGTTCGACACAAACTGTAAGGTCTGTTGAGGTTGGACAACTAAAAATTCATATCCTAAGTAAATCGCACACACATTGTATACCACTAAAACAATATCATACTACTACATAAAAAATGTATAGGTTATTGGGTCCAATAGATAAAAACATCGATTCCTTGCTTCTTAATAAACTATAGATTGAAGAAGCATATGAATCTAACCGTCAACAAAGGGACCAAGGACATAACATGGAAAAATAATAATTTTAAATTACAGAATTGTCATAAGAGATTCATGTTCATGAAGTCTATTTTACTCCTGTAGATTTCAGAATGTCACACAGAATGCATTACCATCCAAGTCAATAACCATTTCATAAAAAACCCATTACCCAGTGTTGGTCCTCATTATAGTGTTGGGAGCGGTGAATCCAATAAAGACCAAAACTTCGGCACTACTTGCACTCAGTTACTACCCTCAAACTCCAAACAATTTCCTCACCATTGGCTACTGTGGAGGGAAAATAATTCCCCACCAATAATAAGTTGACATGTCAGCACAAGGAGGGACCACTAAAGGCATTGTTGACTACTCAACAGTCAACTTGGGCCCAAGAGCAGGGATTGGGCAGGATAAGTTGAATACGGTGGGCTGGGCTCATTACATAAGCCCGAGTCTACTAACTTCAAGCCCTCGTCTGGGCACATGGGTTAAGCCCATCATAATTGTAATATGACTAGGAGAAGGATTGTTATTCATGGTAATCAAACTATGTGACTCGCTACTATAAGGAAACAAATACTGTAACATTTGCCTACTTTAAGAGGATTGTTTCTTGGGGGCCAGTAACCACTTATCCATCTCTTTTTTAAATGACATGCCCAGCCCACAGCAATTGCCTAAGCCCAGTCCCGCTGCTTCTTCAGACTTTATTCCACAGCGTCGTCATCACAGTAACAGAGAGTGGTCTTCGACGGAGAAGAGAAGGTGGATGCAGTTAAGTGCTGACGGGTTGAAAGCGGATGAGAGGACTTTTTGACACAATACATGTTGTTTTCCTGCAGCGTTTCTTCCATCAGGTTCTGTTCTACCATCTGATAGAAGTTTCAGTTCAACTAAGGGATCTCATCAGGGTCGCCGTAGCCACAGGTGGTCTCGTAATGATAAACAAAAGTGGGTATGCACTGATTCAGGTATGTCTTCAGCCCATCATCTGAGGAGCCGTCCCTACTCTCCCTCTTCTTCTTCTATTCCTTCTTCTGGGGTGTTGAGGAGTGAAGTTGAGCTGGCAATGAAGAAGTGCAGTGAGCTTTCAGTAATACCTGAAGCTGAGTCTGGCTTGAATATAGGAGGGAAGGCTACCTACGGGTCTGTTATTTCAGGGCATGTTGATCCAGTGGTGTGGGAAGAGATCTCCATTTTCAGTTATCCAGTGATGAGGCTTCGGCTCTACCCAAAAGAGCTCCGTCTGCGTGCAGCCTTGAAAGGCATTAATTGCTTGCCTTTTGCAGGGGCTGAGGTGAACGAGTCTGTTAGTTTCATGCATAATGGAATGGGTGACTACGTTACAGATTCGGACTCAATGTTTGAGAATGGAAGTGATATGGAAGATGAGGTGATTGATGATTTGGGTTCAATCCAACAGGTTTGTTCTAAAGAGCTCGCCCCTTGGCTTGAGAATGATTGTTCAGATGTTGAACCATTGGCTGTTATGCGACCTGGCTCTTCCAGAATGGCTGCCGATATGGGAAAGGATTGGGTAGTCGAAAATATAGGAATCACTAGTGAGTTGTTGGGTGTCTCATCAGAGGGTAATAATGATCAGACATTATCCATTCTTCAAGCAACGGTGGAAGGAAGAGAGGTGGCAGTGACTAAAGAGGTTATGAACACCAGGCCTTTATCATCTGGGAAAGGGGCACAAGAGGTCAAAAATCTTATCTCTTATGTTAATTATGAAGGGAAGGGAAGGGTGGTGAAGGAGAGGGGAAGGACCAAAAGTAAGAGCATAAGGACCGGAGGAGGGGAGATAATTTTCTCTGGTTTTTAAAGAAGCTACAAATTATTACTTGGAATGTTCGAGGTCTCAACGATCCGAACAAGAGGAGGGTGGTAAAGGTGGCTTTAAGGAAATGGGGGTCCCAGGTTGTTTGTTTGCAAGAAACCAAGTTGGCTTCCATTTCTGATGGGGTGGTTAGGAATTTGTGGGGAGGAAGGTTTGTGGAGTGGGAGGCCTTGAATGCTATAGGTACTTCAGGCGGAATCTTAGTTATGTGGGATAGCAGATGGTTGTCTAGAATGGACGTGTGGATGGGGAGATTTTCTGCGTCTTGCGAGTTTAAGATGGAAGAGGATAACTTCAGATGGGTCTTTTCTGGGGTCTATGGACTGGTGGTTGATGATGATCGACCTATTTTCTGGGAGGAGCTTTGCCATGTTCAAGAATTGTTGTCTCTCCCCTGGAGTTTGGGTAGGGATTTCAATTCAATTAGATCCCCGGTAGAGAGGTCTACAGGGGGAAGGAGGTCATCAGAAATGGATCAGTTTTCTAATTTGATTAATAAGAATTTTCTCATTGATTTACCAATGGAAGGTGCAGCCTATACTTGGTTTGGTCAAATTGCAGGGATCCAGTCACTCTTTCAAGACTGGATCGATTTTTGATTTCTGGAGAATGGGAAGAGAAATTCCCGGATGTCATTCAGGCGGTATTAGCAAGGGTTACCTCTGATCATGTTCCTTTGGTTCTGGATTGTGGGGGGTTTGTGTTCTCGAAGATCTCCGTTTCGGTTTGAGAATATGTGGCTGAGAGCGGAGGACTTCTAAGGGAATATCCGTTCTTGGTGGGAGGGAGTAATAGTTACAGGTTCGCCCAGCTTTATGTTAACAAAGAAGTTAAGAGCTCTCAAATTCAATCTTAAAAAGTGGAATAAGGATGTTTTTGGGAATCTTGAATGGAGGAAGAATAGAATCCTTGCTGATTTTTCCGAAATTGATCGTCTTGAGGAGGCGGGCAGGGATGTGGAGTCTCTACGTTCTAGGAGAGCTTCCTGTCAAGCTGCTTTTGCTCAGATTGCTAGTATGGAGGAGATTTCATGGCGACAAAAATCCCGGGCTCTTTAGCTAAAAGAGGGTGATCGTAACACAAATTTTTTTCACAGACTAGCTAATGCTCGTAGAAGGAGTAATCACATAGGTTGAATTTGGGTGGAAGGTGTGGAGTTGTGGAGGGAGGAATAGGTACGTAATGGGATTGTCTCTTTTTATCAGAAGCTTTACACTGAGCCGCTAGCCAGGAGACCCAAAATTGACGGTCTCCATTTTGAGGCCATTTCTAAGTTGGGTAGAGACGGGCTTGAGATTCCTTTTACTGAAGACGAAGTTCTAAAAGCTTTATCTAGTTGTAATGAGGACAAAGCTCCAAGACCTAATGGGTTTACCATGCGTTTTCTTATGGAAGTTGGGCAGTAGTGAAAAACGAGGTGATGGGTACATTTAAGGAGTTTCATGCTACTGGCGTCTTTGAAAAGTCACTAAATGTCTCATTTATTGCCCTTATCCCTAAGAAGGGTGGTGCCTCTGATATTAAGGATTTTAGACCAATTAGCTTAGTGGGTTGTACTTACAAGCTCATGGCTAAGGTGCTTGCTCTAAGGATGAGGGAAGTAATGGATGGGATTATTTCAAATTCCTAGAATGATTTTGTTGGAGGCCGGCAAATTCTTGACTCTGTTCTTATTGCAGGAGAATGTGTGGATTCCAGGTCGCGTAGTGGTGTTCCTAGAGTTTTATGCAAACTTGATATTGAGAAAGCATATGATCATGTGAACTGGAAGTTCCTTCTTTATTTGTTGCAAAGAATGGGGTTTGGAAGTAGATGGAGGAAATGGATTGAGACTTGCTTCTCATCAGTCAAGTTCTCAGTTCTTGTGAATGGATCTCCCATTGGTTTTTTTGGGTGTTCTCAGGGTTTAAGACAAGGAGATCCTTTGTCGTCTTTCCTTTTTCTTATTGTTACAAAGGGCTTAAGCAGACTTATGCGAAGGGCTGAGAATCTTGGTCTTATTAAGGGTTTCGAGGTGGGAAGAGATTTTGTCCATCAGGTGGAGATTTCTCATTTACTTTTTGCGGACGACACCCTGGTTTTCTGTGATGTTGATGTGTCTCAACTTAGATATTTGAAGTGTATCCTGGCTTGTTTTCAGGCAGTTTTCGGGTTGAAGATTAACGTGGCTAAGAGCGTGCTTGTCCCGGTAGGGAATGTTCAGGATATTTCTTCTTTAGCTGCAGTTCTTGGTTATAGGGCCAATTCTTTTCCCATTCCTTATTTGGGTTTGCCTCTAGGGGTTTCTTCTAGGAGAGTGGGTAGTTGGGACCCTATGATTGACAGGTGTGCGAAGAGATTGGCAGGTTGGAAGAAGCAATACTTGTTTAAGGGGGGTAAAGTTACTCTTATAAAGAGCACTTTATCGAGCCTACCCACATATTTTTTATCCATGTTCCAAATTCCATGCTCCGTTGCTGATAGGATTGAAAAATTTCAAAGGGATTTCCTTTGGGGCTAAAGAGGAGAAGAGTTTAAGTATCACCTTGCAGATGGGAGCAAGTTTGCAAGCCTGTGACGTTGGGGGGTCTTGGTATTAGAAGACTGGTTCCTTTTAACCAAGCTCTCTTGGGCAAATGGTTGTGGAGATTTGGGAGGGAAAGACATCATCCCTAACGAAGGTTAGTCTCATGTTGGTTTGGGGAAGAGATTGGTGGCTAGTCTACTAGTCCGATTACCCTTGCGGGAGGAGTTGGCATGTTT